AATCAACATCTTGTGTATAGAAAAAGAACATAATTATGTTACATGCAAATATATAAACAAGCTCAAATACAGCCTTGAGTAAATACAATTTTTGTTTTTTGAAACAGTGGTAGGATTGACTGCCAGTGGCTCTTGAATCAAAAGTAAATCAATTAAAATCAAACATTCAATATGAAAGCTACAGCGATTGAAAGTTTAAACTTTCCCTTACAAATATTAATTAATTATTTGCAACTTATAACCCATTTACATAATTATAAATTATTTTTACTATCCTCTCTGGTAAAACAACTTGAGAGTTTGCAGAAATTGTAAATATAATTTTTAAAAATAAACTTAACTCAACATTATAGTGTATTTTCATCTGACTAAGACCAGATGTTTATGGCGTAGGGGTTGGCGATCCCATCGCCCGGTGGCTTGTCCATCGCAACCAGCCTCCCTGTCTCCCTACTCTTCATCTGAGCAGGGGCTGTGTAGCAGTGCAGTGTACATGATTAAGAACCTGTATGTGGCCCTCACGGATGTTTTAACTATAGTATTAATGCAAACACATTTATTTAAAAAGTAATAAATCTTAATTATATCTCTCATCTCTCTAACTTTGCTTTTACTGTCAACTGTTATTAAATTTACCTACTCGGGATTTACCCAGTCGATGAAAATAGTCATATCCATATTCATATTCAAACATCATTATTTTAAACTATGCCAGCTTTAAAATTTTGTCTTGTTAAATTTTTTATTCCATCAAAGTTGGTTTTTCTCCTATGAGGTTAATATGAAGGAATCTATTTATTTAATTGGAAACATTGTCTCCAATAATTTGAGAAAACTACTGGGCTTAGAAGCTTGGTAGGGATGCCCAAAGAAAGGTCTTGGTCTGTAGATGAGCCATCAAAAGAAAAAGTAAATTAATTCCCTCTTGTTTACATTATGGCCATATGCATAATTTTTCACTACATTTTAATGAAACAGCTGTTAATATTTAAATTGTATTTTAAACATCACACATTAATAGGGAGTTACTGAATTAGTCAAAAAGAAGTACAGTATTTGCAATGTTATTTTCTGATTTTAAAATTTATTTTCTTCTGCATCATGTCATGTTTTGCAATAAAACGTACCATTACGAAATCAGTGGAAAACCTTTATATCACACTAACTCTTAAAATTATTTCTTTTTGAAATTTATCATATATCCATATCTATTGTGCGGGTTTGATGTCTGCCTTTTTGACAAATTTTGCTTATAATTTATCATATTATTCAAGACAGATCATCATAAGTTCATGAGATTATTGTCATACATGTTTTCAATCATTGGAAACATATTCGGTTGTGTAATACAATACAAAATAATACAAGTGCAGAAGAGCACATTGCCCATATGAGCTGAGTCCATATTTTGTTAAATCAATAGTGGTTTACAGCACCCGAATAAAACTTTTAATAATGATTAAGTAGAAATAATATGTACATGATTTAGAAAGTCTTTAAGCTAGAATACGTACTGTGTATTTCCATGTCCCGTTAAAAGAGGTAGCCTACAAATGTAACCCATTTTGTTGCACAATCGCGATTTCAGGTACACAAACATTTGGGTTGGTTTAGTTTGAACGTTTGAAGAAGTAAAACCGCCAAAATACACACAAAATAGGGGTAATAGGGGTTGTGTAATCTAAATGTTAATACAAATTTCATTTATTTATTCCTCTAACATAGTTAACATACATTTCTATTATTTGATATTGGTTTCCTATAAGTAGGTGTAATTGAGGCGCCTACTTTAGTTAAGGGGTAGTTTAGGATAGACATAGATTTTGTGTTTTAAGTTATTCTTAACTCATTTTTCAGTAGCCTGGTAAAAGTCTCAGAACTTTAATCACGAAAGGCCACTATACTATACATCAAGGGTTGTCTAAAGGGGCAACCTTGTTAAGTAAATTAGAAACTCCTCCCTTCACCCAAAACAGGGCAGAACTCCTAAACAAAATTCACTAACTTTTCCAGATTTCCTGATAGAAAACCTGGTTTTCCCAGTCGTGATTACTAGTCACCGAGTGTATCTTATACTAGTGGTCTGCGAGTACACCATATTTTTGGATCTGGTCGGCCCTCGGACCAACGGTTTGCACGAGAGGTCTGTACGGACTGAAAATGATTATCAAGTCAAGCTTGGATCAAGTTGAGCTGAGCGTAAATTTCTGTGACCACTGAAAGCGTTTATGAAGATACACGTTTGAAAATTAATGATTTTACCCTGATCGTAGGGGACGATGATGTCACGTAAATAATGTCCAAGATTTTTTCTTAACCTCCAGAGTTGTGAATGATTTTGCTAAGTCCGTGTATGAAGTTCTCAATTTCGCCATGACGACAGAAGATGTTTTCGATTTTGTAATGATCGCATACAATTATCTCGATTATACTGTGACGGTGGAAGATGTTTACAGTTTCGCCGAGATCGCAGATTATGTTCTTTATTTTGCCATGACTAAAAAAGATGTTTCTCCTACCATGAAAAAAGTTGATAGTTTAGCCGAATTCCAGTATTAGCAGATGTTCTTGATTTTGCCATTATTGTGGAAGATGTTCTTGATTTTGCCGTGACCTCGAGAGGTGTTAACGATTTTGCCAACACCACGGATGACAATCACAATTTTAACGAGACTGCAGACTAAAACGGGTTTCCCTAGTGCAAATTTAAAATTCCCGTATAGTTCCAGATTCAACATGAATTTACACAAACTTCCTCAAACTCTCGGTCCGTATGGTCACCCTGGTGGGGTCTCATGGGGGAGGCTCCTCGCCCATATCGATGGAGGCGCATGAATACATTAAATGGTAAATTTAAATAAACTCTTAAGTATGGTTTTGCATGATTAAACTTCTAAGATTCTTGCCAGGGGTGGTAAGGAGGGATAAGTGGGCTTTGGCCCATAAAAAAATTCAAAACTCATAAACTGCGATAGACATTTGATAAAATTCAAAATTTTGTTTACAGTTTTGACACCAGGATTTATTTTTTTACCTACTTAGTAGTAATATACGCATTAAGCTTGTGCTACGGCCCTGCCATAGTACGGTAATGTTGTGGTAGAAATGGGAGGCCCTCCAACTGAACATGGCCGAGGGAGCCCTGGTGGTAGAGAGCGGAGGTAGATAATTGTGTCTGGACCTCCTCTCTCTATCTTAGTTGTCCTTTATCCAAAGTATACCTTAAACCTTTTTCCAACCCACTGGCCTGGTTTCCTTACTATCTTCCCATCATCCAGCTGGCTGTTATCAACGCATCATCAGAGAGGAAGAGCTGTATTCTACTAACTATGTAAGTATCTATTCAAGGAATAACAGTCATAGGGAGTAGAACCTTAATGCTAGAAACTACACTAAATATAGTGGAGCCACAACACGTTACATGAACATTATTAGATCGTGAAGAAGACAAAAAAAGGCTATATTTTACAAGGAAGTTGTTTGATTGCTATGGGAAGATTTGTTATGATAGGATCTAAACCTTTCTAAGTCCAAAACGTGTAATATCCGCACTTAACACTTGCGTCTGAATTGAACCACAATTGCATACTTTAGAGCTCAAGGAGAGTAAACCCATAGAAAAGATTTTCAGCGAATAAGGTTTTAAGTGAAATATCCTAATTATTTTTTTAACTGCTATTCAGTGAAAATACACAGATAACTATCTCTTTAGGATTTGGAAGAAGCTACAAAGACTGGCTTTTTACACACATTTTACTGTTTTAAGAAATTATTGATCATTGACTAACTATGCTAACCAATTCTACAACTTAAAACAGGTTGCACTGTCTAAAATAGGTAATTAGAAGTAAGTTTCGGTCAAGTTGGTATACCATTTAAGAATTCTTTGATACTGTTTCAGATCTTTTAATGAGTGTCAACTTTAGCAAGAATCTACTTAAGCAAGAGTCTACATCAGTGAGATGATTGCATACCGGTAGTACAAAGTCTGGCCTTTCTTTGAACTTCCTTTGCAAACATGTTGTCATCAGCTGGCATGTCTTCTGTAATTCTAAGGTAGCCTAATTTTTTGCATTTCTTTTAGGTAGCTGAATGTTTAAATCATTTATGTCTACAATAAGTAACAGTTAAAATACCTAGAAGATATTTTAACAATGTAAATCCATAGGTTTGTAGATAGATTTACTTGAGTGACAGAACCAAATGATAATTTTGGTCAGATATACGACCGCACACGGACATCGGTTTGCGCTATGTTTTGATGAGGTATTTGGTATTAATGAAATAATTTGCCGAGCAACATTTAAGTTACCAGTAGTTGCAATGAAATTCTCTATACCATAAGAATCCCTAGAAACTGTTAGAGTAACTGGAATGCACTGTTTCTAATATGAAAGAAAAATATTGAAAAATCCGTATAGTCCTACTACAGTAAATTATGTAAATAAAATTACCATAAAGTGGGTTGGTCTGAGGTTGTTGAAGTGTTCATCTTTAGAGTTCTGAACCAAAAGAGATTTCAATCGGAATATTTACTATTGAGAGTTCTGATAGTTCTTCCTGACTCCTGAGGCTTCAAAATAGCTTCTTTTTGCCGGAAAAACGTCAGTGTCATCAAAAACAGTAAGAAGTATAAGTAGGCCTAGCTTAAGCTTAAATTAGAAGATACCTAGTGTTGGCTGTTCCTCCATCTAAGTAAAAGTTTAAGTTTGGCGTTTGAGCTGCGGTTATTTCTGAGGGACATGATTGAATTTAAGTTTAGTCACTGATAGAATTCAATGTTTCAGAACATTTTGAAAAACTCATTTATAAAGCTAGGTCTACTCTTTGAGTAGTCTACCATACCTCAGCAAGTTTTTATAGACTATTGTAAATAGTTGGAGTTAGAGCATTGTTGACTATGTTGGAGGTAGCCTATTTGAGAAGGGCAGATCAGGGTTAAATTATATAGAGGTTTCTTACAAACTTAATTTCTGATATAATTTATTGAATATACTTACGGTTTTTTCATTGACTTTGAGATATAAACATAAACATAACCCTACTTTTCAGTTTACAATAATTTACATGACTTTGACTTGTATTGTTCATCATTGACTAAAGAAAACAAGAGCTGAAAAAATGAAGCAATGAATATGGAATATCAGAAAGAGAATGGGTGAAGCAAAGCGATGATATAATTATTGTGTACAACGAGGAATAACAACAGGACCTGAGTGTGTTGTACGACGACAATATTATTCCAATAATTCCGTGTGCACATAGCGTCCACACTAGTGAGTTTTATGACTATCCGCTGTACTATCCTGATAATTAGACCAATTTGTTAATTACAAGGCAACAAGGTGGTTCGGATTCCATTAGAAAGTACTGTAGGTCCCTAAGTTGCGATTGGCTATTAACATCTGTGTCCAAGGGCCGTTTTGGACTTAGTCGCTAACAAGACTACAAGATCGCCCCACTCATTTTACACTCATCTAAAATACCTACTTTGTATGATCACAATTTCAATGAAAAGTATTAAAGTATTAAGAGTAAGGCCTAAGGGAGTGTTTTATCTATTTTTATGGCAACACGTAATGCGATTGCGAATCTTATTACTTTCTACAGTCATCAAAAATTATATCTATCAGCATAGAATAATATAATCATTGTCTTGTAATTGCTAAAACTGTAATTTCTTTACCTGTCTTATGTGAATTGAAAAAAATATCAACATGGACTGGACTGAGACTTGCACTCGCACATGAATATGATTCTAATCAAGACATAGACAACGATTTCTTTACACCCCTTATGCAAACTAAGATTCGGTCATCTATAATGCTACAAGACTATTTCAAATGAAGAAGAGGGAATCTCCGTATTGCACCAAGTGTGGACTAAGACTAAGACAACTTGAAACAATAGAGCACATCATTACAGAGTGCCCAGCCTATAATAGGATGAGACATTGCCTTTATGCAAAAATAAAGAAATTTAAGTTAATTGGAATTCACCACCAACTGTCCAAACTCCAAACAATCCTAATGGAAAATAATTGCAAGCTATGGCCAACATTACTATAATGTTTAAAAGGAACAGGAATCCAACCTTGAGATATATTTAAATAATTAAACAAGACATTCAAATTGAAATTTCTTAACTAGAACTAGCATCATGCTGGCATTTTGAAAAAGCCCGGGAAAAATTGTATCAATGCAATAGTGTGGCTACATGGTTAGTTAAACCAAGCTAGCTTTACTAAAGCAAACTAGAAAAGAAGAAGACCTGCACATGTGAGAGAACAGAGAACGGCAATCAACATTACACAAACACAGAGGATACGCGTCCGGTAACCAGACGTGGATTAGGTGTCTGGTAACCAGACGTGGATTAGGTGTCCGGTAACCAGACGTGGATTAGGCGTCCGGTAGGGGGTCCCAGAACGCCATTACCACAACACAGAGGATACGCGTCCGGTAACCAGACGTGGATTAGGCGTCCGGTAACCAGACGTGGATTAGGCGTCCGGTAACCAGACGTGGATTAGGCGTCCGGTAGGGGGTACCGGAACGCCATTACCACAATGATACGATGTTCAGCCATCAGTGTTCGTGGTGTAGTGGATAGAGTGTTCGACTGAAATGCGAGAGGTCCCCGGTTCGAAACCCATCGGTAACTTTAACTTTTTGTCACAGATTTTGCTTTGAATGTAATTTCTTCTTAACTGTACATCTTTTGTTAGAATTGTTGGCATTTATAATTTTATGTTATGAAGAGAATTGAACCTTCATTTGATTTTTTTCACTATCAGCAAGTTTGGTTGGTTAGGTTAGGTTATGCCAGTAACTGCCGGACGCCTAATCCACGTCCGGTTACCGGACGCGTATCCTCTGCGTTACCACAATGATACGATGTTCAGCCATCAGGGTTCGTGGTGTAGTGGATAGAGTGCTTGACTGATATGCGAGAGGTCCCCGGTTCGAAACCCATCGGTAACTTTAACTTTTTGTCACAGATTTTGCTTTGAATGTAATTTCTTCTTAACTGAACATCTTTTGTTACAATTTTTGGCATTTATAATTTTATGTTATGAAGAGAATTGAACCTCCATTTGATTTTTTTCACTATCAGCAAGTTTGGTTGGTTAGGTTAGGTTATGACAGTAACTGCCGGACGCCTAATCCACGTCCGGTTACCGGACGCGTATCCTCTGCGTTACACAAAACATAACCTAAACCTATTTGTTTACATCATGCATGCAATTACAATTTTATTTTATTTCATGTTAAATTAAGTACCAGACTGTTTCGACTTTTGAATAAAAATATCGGACATTACTCCCTGGATCCAATTCTTACTGAAGTTAATTTTAGTAACCATTTAATGTAAGTAGGGTACTAAGTAAAGTAAAGTAGAGTTGTAGAATAGCCTAACTAGGCCTAGGCCTTTAATTTTTTTAACAAGGTTAAAATACAATCTCATAGGTAAGTTAGCTGATACTTTTTACTTCGTTATTAGGTTAAATTATGAGCTGTTGTTCTGTATAAATTGGCTGAAAGCGGGATGTGAATTAAATAAGTTAGTGCATACAGCTGTAACATGGCTTGAGAGTCAAATGCGGAAATGAGTTGAATCAGTACTTAGCCTATTTTATACCACTCGAGTATAAGTTATATAAGTATAACCGATATATAAGTTAAGTTAACTCAGTCACTATGAGTCAACAGCGCTGAATATAAATTTTTAAAAGCACTTGAATCTAAATAGCTCCTTAAATTGTATTTACAAGTCCGCATTGCTGGCAACCATAGGTTTGTGAAATACGCGAGTACTGACTAGAATCAGAAGAATCGAGCACATTTTACCCTCAAGTTGACTGAATCCTTGACTTGTCACTTCACTAACTTTAAGCCAGAGCGTTTACAGTACCGGTACCTTTTATTTTAGTTAGTTTTATGAGTCCATTTACTACATAAGGATTGATTTAAAAGTGTCTTTTCTTAATGCGGACATACATTATTAGAATGTCCAAATCTATGACCCCCCCCCCTCCTCACAAAAGCTAGTTTCTCTTGTTTTTCAGGAGGCCACAGAATAAAAAATTAAAGGGATTTTTATTAGGTACCGGTAAATAAACATTCACTAATTAGTAGGCCCTTGTTTATAAAACTATAGGTTTTCTATCATTTTTGTTCTAGATGGGTAAACTACAGAAAAAGGAGGGAGGAACAGGTGCAAGAAGAAAAAAGTTTAAAAAACCTCAAAAACCAGTATCAAATATACAACATGACGACCGAAAAAATACAAAAGAAAGTCGTAAACTCGCTGAAAAGAATTTAAAAACTTTAAAGACATTGAGTGAGACCGCTAACAGAAAAACAATAGTAAAACGGTTTGAACCTCAAACAAACAATAAAGATGGTACCATTAAAACTACTGATAAAGAGAGGATACCGGTGCCTGAAGAGCTCTTGAAAAAATACAGTCGTGGGGAAGGCATTAAAGGAGTTGGAATCAAAACCCATTTAGAAAAAGTTAAACTTCTGAAGAGTGATAAAGTTGTAGAATGGGCAACAGAACAGGCTGCGAGATCTACGGTTTTACTAACAGAAGATTCTGGGTAAGTTGTAATTTTACTTTTTACTAACTGAGCCTACTACTAACTTTTGACAGTACCCTACATTAAATGTGGAGTGAGCTGGTCTTAGTGGTAGAGCGTGGGGCTTCGGTCTAAACACAATTCTAGCGAGGAATCTAATCTACTCTAGAATGGGACCTACTTTAGTTAATCTAATCCAACATTGGTTCACTTTTTAATTTTGTTATACATTTTTGTAAAACAATTTTAAACCAATAACAAACGTTAAAACAATAAAACACTGTTAATTTTGTTACCATCTAAACTTGGTGGTATTTTCAAGGAGGTAAAGAGGAAGTACACAATCATCTCCACAATGCTAATAAACACATCCCAACAATTTGTTAATCGTTTTGTTACAATTACAGTTTTATTGAACCTGATGAAAACGAGGTAACAAGACAGTACAGCCAAGAGCAGATATCAAATAACGTTGACATCACCAGTGCTGCTAAAAGATTTGAATTAAATCTTCAGTTTGGACCCTACAGGTAATCAAATTGTTTTATTACTTTTTGTTTGACCAATAAAATACCTATAGTTGTGTGTATGTTACGTGACTTTTATGTTCCATTCCAATAGTCCCGTTTTCAGGAAGTATGTTGACTCAATAGACTGTTTTTCGAACCAAATAAATTCTTTTTAAATAAGAAATCTTTGGGAATTGGCTACTTTGAGATTGAGGACTTTATATTCTAAGTGTTTTGAGATTTTAAGTTTGAGAGATGTAAAGTAGGCCTAAAATATTGGCTACTGTATTTTCTTTCTTTGATTTAGAAGTTGTTCATCTTTTATTTTATAACTTGTAAAAACTGTGTGTTCTTTTAGTGTTATCTTTTTTCAAACTAAAAAATTGTTGTAGGTCTAGGCCTTTATATTTTTTAAGTAAGACACCATGCCTTTGACAAAATGCTCCTTTTTTTCTCCTAAAACATATTTAGTTAACTGTTGTTCATTCAATAAAAGGTTTTAACAGTTCACATTATTATAGACCTAGCTTAATATTATGAAATAAAAATATATGATTTATGGTATTGAAAATTATTTACAGAATGAACTACACAAAAAACGGACGTCATCTGCTGTTAGGAGGCAGACGTGGGCATTTGGCTGCTTTTGATTGGGTCACAAAGAAACTTCTATGTGAAACTAACGTAATGGAGACAATCTCTGATGTTCAGTGAGTACATAAATCTTAACGTTTGAAAACATCGTAACTCATTGGCCCACTTGTTTTTAGATTAGCCTTGAGGAATCCTATTAATTTTGGAAATTTACAAGCTTTCACAATGCTCACAGAATTCTTAGTTCTCTTAAAAACTCTACTTTTTTAATGTGTCTAACAACACATGTTTTTAAAGCTTCGCCGGTAAAATCGGCACCCAAATAGTTAGTACCAAAAGCACATCACTTAAACTTCCCTCCCCTCAGCTATGTCTCAGGGAAACATA